CGGCAATTTAAAATTTTGCCAAAATGGACTATTCCGACCAGTGAAAGGTAGCTACACCAATATTATTCAGAAGATTTACACATTTCCAATTTTTTCCTTTGATATGTGTTTCATACCAATCTCTAGCATCATCTTCAAGTAAAGTCTCAAAGATCCCATGAATCCTAACACGAATTCTAGCATTAGCAGCAGGATCAAGTCCAGCAGACTCACACCATTGCCTGAATTCTTGAAGCTAAAGTTCTGGATCTTCACCAGATATTCCTCTAAATTTTTTAGGTGCATATCCTGTTATTATCAGTTGTTGTATTACCGGAGGGTTATTTTGTAATGCTAGAATCTGTTGATTTAAATTATTGACCTGATTTTGCAAATTTTGTCCATGATTGCGACAGTTTAAAAATTGCCCTCTTTATGCTCGAGCTTGCTGAATAATACCATTAACCCGCCTTCTACTTCGCTCTGTTTTAGTATTATAGCGCTGCAATAATCTATGAGCATTTCTTCTACTCTCATCACGTTCTCTCTGGACATTAGCTAGTTGGATTTGACTGTTAGCAATTGAGCCTGGATGTTAGCCAATTGGATCTGAGTATTTTGTGCAAGGCCTTCCCAATATTGGTGATGACGCACTTCATTTGCATATGCATCCTCATAGGTATGTTTTGTTCTCAATATAGTAGCATGTTATCACCCCCATCTGCCACCAAACAAAGTTCCCTGCTTCTGTTATATGTATTCTCAGCGAAATATTCATATTCTTGCTTGGTTTAGTTTTACATCTTTAACTTAATTTTCACCAATTTCTAACACACGTCGAATGACCAAAAACAGGCAAAAAAAATGGCTAGAATTGCATAAACTATTCGCAAATTTATATAAACTATTTACAAATAGTATAGGTTAATTTGCAAATAGCCAAAAACAGCCAAGAATAGCTAAGAACAGCCAAGAATAGCCAAGAATAGCCAAGAATAGCCACTGCTTTTCACGCCATTTTTTTTGCC